TTGCGAATCGGATACGTCCTCGATTTTACTAATATTGCTCGCACAAGTGTTGCGAGAGTGACCAGTTAGAGTATGTTATCGGTAATATGCATCTTATGAAAACTTTAATTGATTAAGAATTAAAAATCACTTATAAGATTTGAAGGAAATTGAATGAAATTACTAGTGAAAACTTTTAAAAATAAAAAATACAAATAAATTAAAATCAGATTCATAATGAAAACAAAATATTTTAAACAGTACGGGATTTGCGTCTTAAACTAATTTAAGAATTATTTATAACATATATTGACATTTAACTGATAAACAATTCTTTGCAATTATTATAGTATCCTGGCTTCATGGTACAATTGGTACATCGCGTAAACTTCACTAACTCTGTATTATTATTCGATTAAAGCATTATATGTACTTATATAATAATAAAATGATTTCCAATGTTTACAAATGATGCATATACAGTTTAGATTTGAACACATTTTACTCGATATCCCATCTTTCTTCAGTACTATAGATCGGAACACCTTCAAAGATACAATGGTCCGAGACAATTTTCTTAAGGTAAAGGGGAAAAACCCCCTTTTATGATTTCCTTCAGGGACTAAATCCAGCTAAATTTTCCAGCTCATGTTATTTATATTGGTATACAATTATTTACATTGAGTTCCCAAATCAAGGGCATTTAACGAACGAGGACTGGTATGTATCTCTCCGCCACTCTTTTTAATCACCAAGTTTTAGATTCATGTAAGCAGCTCTATATTTTTTCTCCTTCAGTACTCTTGAACGGAACACCTTCAAAGATACAATGGTCCGAGACAATTTTCTTTAGGTAAAGGGGAAAAACACCCTTTTAAGATTTCCTTCAGGGACTAAATCCAGCTAAATTTTCCAGGATACTATAGCTGGCTCGGCCTATCGAAAGTTCTAAATCATTTATAAATACACTGAGGATACTAAGGATGCTTGCCTCATTTTTAAATTGGTTAATAATAGATAAGAGATAATTTCCGTCACTACGAGTATTATCTACGATCCAGGTAAGGTAACGCACAGATTTCGCAACAATAAGTGTTGTAATACGTTTAATTGTCTTTGGCTGTCCCACGCTTCATATTTGTAACAATTTATAATTGTTATATATTTATTTACTCTTGTAATTTATTACATAAGTAAAATATGGTATATGACTAGCCGAACTTAATATTCATAATAAAAGTTTTAAAAAATTACACCGACTTTAAATAAAGGAAAAAAAATCAATATAAATTATCATTAACCACACCTTTCAAAGAGATATTATGCTTTTTAGAAATAGGGGGAAACTCAAAAATTGCTTCAACGTTTTGGTTGAAACTTTGACTCTTCTTTGAAATATAATTGATTTAAATAAAAAGTATCTATGATTATTACTTTACTGGAAATTTGTGGGAAAACATACACGTTAACCCGTGCTTGGAAGCCAAATAATTTTTCATAAAATAATATGTAAAATTATAAAGTGATTTTTTACCTTTTATTATTTGAGTACTTTAAATCGGTATTTAACTAATCAGACATTAAATTGTAGCTGAAATAGTTTAAACATAAATCTATAATAACTTGAACACAACTCTGCAAGTTTTAATATCAAAGCCAGCACGCTCAAGCTATTTTTTTCCTATTCATAGCTTGTACAAGGACTAACATTTGAATTTTCAACTCATATAGGCCAAGTTCAGTAGTAAAATACACTTTGAATACTGATCTATTGACATTCTTCTATTTCGTAATTTTGCCTTACTGTGTGACTTAATTTGCTTTTAATTATTTCGTGAAGCTATTCGTTCAAACGATTTTATAGAAATAGAACGTTGTAACAAAATAACAATCAATTTGCGGCTAAAATTTGTAAAGCCGACTTAGCTTAGACTTTCCAGAAGATTGTAGAAGTATTTATCTCACCATGCCTCCGGCTGATAGAGGACAAATCTTTGGTTTTAATTTATTTTATTATTATTTATTACTTAAGATGTCATGTGGACATGGTGTAATGGTTGCAGCTCCTTACAAACGTTGTGTAAAACAAAAAACTTGGCGATCAAAAACAGTGACGGAGAATTTATCGTCAGTTCTTCTCTTCCGTTCTACGCCCTTGATTTGCATTTCATATACATTTCTTTTTTGACGTTCATAAGCGTACATTGTGTTACCTACATGAATAAATGATTTTCGACTTGACTTGACTTGACTATCGTCCTTTTGGATTAAGAATTTACTAACTTCCAAGGAAAAGCTAAAAAAAACTGTCAGCTGAATTGAAATACTCTTTATGAATATAATTTAAATGAATTCTTCGGGTATTTTAAGTTATTTGCACAAAAACTAAGATTTAAATTCTTAAAAAACCCTATGAAATAAGTGATTAAATAATTCCTATAACCGACGAGCATGCTTGGTGAATGTCAAATGGATGAAGCGAGAGAGGTAGAGTACCATAGCAAGTGGAGATCCGTGGTCTCTGCCTACTAAAAAGCCGTGGACTTCACGCAGTCTGGATTATACATCTTTCCATTGAAATACCATAATCATGTGGTGTTTCAGTCCATCATTGATGGGCGAGATAATCATTAAGGTCGCTGGTCTTTATCAAACATAGCAAAATAGTTGCGAGAAAACATTCCATACTTATTTCCTTGAGTGAATGTGTTACGTACTTACACAGGAGTTATACGCGAACCACATATCTGCCACAAACCACTGGTTACGTCACAAGACTAGTCCAGCTAACGAATCGTTGACATCGATACAACGTACTTCCTTTAACTCATATTTACTGATTACCTCTTGAACAGGAACAGTACTCCGTCCCAATAGCGATCCCAACTTCAATTTTTTTTAGATCCTGTGAGAAGTATCAAAATTTCATACGGAAACGCATACAGATGCAATAGTTTTTCAAATGTCTATGAAAATGACAAGAAAGACTTTCTGGGTCATATTTTTTGTTACTACCAATACGATTGAGCTATACCAGTTGTTGTGCTATCGTCAAGTCTGGGGTCATAGGTTTGAATTGATGATCTTGTCTATGGAACAATTGTCGAGGCACAGTCGATTTTTGTAAGACATTTATTACAATTTTATTCATTCACCATACAGCATGAGTTCATATACTTTTACATAGTTAATTTTTGCGAGTACATATTGTCATAGATATAGCCTTATTTTTTAGTAGCTTGGTTAGGTAAGTGTGCCAGGAATCTTCCTTAAATACACTTCTCACTACATCAGGAGCTATTCGTGTCGGATACGTGTTTGTTACGTAATCTGTTTTGGCAATAAACAAAATGATTATTATTTGCAATCGAATGACCGGAACTAATTATGTTATTCACTCTCCGATTAAGATGTAATCAAGTTATTTTTAATGATAAATATGTGATTAGATTTCAAAAATAGTCCTTAGTATTAATTAACTATATTATTAATAACAATGGTGTCGCTAATAAACACTCCAGGCAACCTCAGTGAAAATAGTATATCTAAAACAGGAGAAATTTTCTATTAAAAATTTTGACTCATTTTAGAAATATGTTATGTATACATTTTACTCCCAAAAACGCATTAAAAGACAAATTATATACATATATACTAAAATGCTTGAAACATACATGTAACGTGAGGTAATGATCGCCATAAATGTAACTCTTAATAATTTTTTACTTAATATGTTTTTTCACAAACTTACCTACCGTTGAGAAGAAATCGCCATTTTGAATCATTTGACAGTGTTGCCAAGTACTAAAAACTTAAGGATGCGTTCTTGAATATTGTTCTACACGTTTAGAAATCGAATATTCGTAATAGGGTGAGGGAATGATTTTATTTGGCGGGACATATTTAAAATCAAATAATTGTTTTTATAAATTCTTCGTTGTTAGATGAAAGTTTTTATAGACAATAACAAACATCTTTCTAACATATTAGCATAATTTAATTATAAAGAATATGTATATATTTGAGATGAATAGGCATTTTAGTAATATTTTTGAACTGAGGGACAAGGTGAGGGAATGACTTTAAAGGTAACAAAGTAGCCATATCTTTTATTTCTTTAGAGGTAATACGTTTTATTTTTCGACAACATTAGTATAGACCGCGTGCATTGAAATAAAAAAAAGACTTACATAGTTAATGCATATGACTCAGAACTAATGACAAGGGAATCAAATTTCGAAATTTGATGAGAAATACCCACATACAGATATACCATTAGTTTATATAACGTTTGATGGATGGCTCTATACGCAATCCATATCTGAACTGCGTGGGAAGATATAATAATAATAATAAGGCTTCGGTAATATAATTTTGTCATAGGCAATTCTTCACATAGGACACATTCTTATTTTAAAATACACACAAATATATACAAACGTTAAGTATACAGTAATATGTTGTTTCCTTTATTGTAGGTCGCATATGTAATCCGCATATAATTTTTCTCGCCCATGCTCGAAAAAGCGAGAATTTTTTGACTCCAGTACCTAGTTGCGTGACTCGCAAAGCTTGAGGTCCGGAAAATCCGTTACAGTTTTTATCATTCAATAAATTATATTTAAGAACTACGATACTTTGAAATGCGGTGAAGAAAGGAATGCTTTAATGCGAAAGGAGTTTGAAAACATTAAAATTGCAAAAAATCGATCGTGTATTGTTTAAACCTGTTCTTATTGCAGTGTATCAAATTGTCACCATGGTAACCACTGTGTATTGATTACATTAAACGGTGAGTTTATTCCGAACATAAATATTTGATTGTTTACAGTGCATGCGCATGTGCAATTGTAAATACCAATGAATAGCCGGTTTCGAGAACCTTTGAACTCTTGGATTTTCTCAATCGCAGACCATCCCGAGTACAGGTAGTAAAGAGAGGGGCTCGTTGATAAATAGATGCGAACGCGCACCACAAGTAACTGGTAGTTTTGTTTTGACGGCGTCCGACTCACATCGAAATGAGGTCGCTGGCTATTACGGTGGGTGGTGTGATGTGTTTGTGATCTAGTGCTAAATTTTAGCGAGTTATGGACTTTTTTATTGTGTTTTTTAATCGAAAGCTTTGCGTATTACTGCTTTTAGTTATTTTTTACATTTCGGTAATTGAGAAGGGTTTACTGTAGGGAGTCAATAGAATTACTTTAGCCCGCTTAGAAATAACATTAAATGTTAACTTTGTCCGTCTTTAGTAAGCATTAAATAATTTGTCCATTCAATTAAGTTAATTTGTAAAATGTGAATATTTTCTAGAATGCGAACAATTAGTAAATCAAATCGAAAAAAGCTATAGAAATATTTTCATCAGAAACCACAATAAAATCGCAATTGTTCGTGGTCCTTTCATAAAAGCCAGTAGTTCTAAATTTAACGGATTTAAAAAAAATATAATTTAAAAAATTTACTCTCCTCATTTTTCCCTAACGTGCCAAAAGAACGCGCAAAAAACTGCATTGATCGTAGAATGTAATATTGAAGCAACATTCAAAGGCCGCATGTTTTTTTGTTGAAGAAGCGGATTAAGACTCAATCTATAAGGGCTGCGAGCGCTTTCATCGACTTTTGATTCCTTCAAACCGCATAAGAGATCAGATACAATTTTTTAAATTCAAACTATTCAAATACTCCGTCAGATGTATCTGTGGGTTTAGACGAGTATTGCCGTGAGTGAAATTATTAGTTAAGTTATTTCATTTAGAAGCGATATCAGATAGTTATTGAATCTTATTGAAATACAAGCTTCAGCTTATTGCTAGTTATTTTGCTCAAACAAATTTAAACAAAAGATTATCCGTGATAAAAAGATTAAGATCAAAATAACTAAATATAACTTTTATACGAAAATTGATTTAGATTATTTGGATAACAATAATAGTATGTTAATCTTTTAATACGGTATTTAATACCAAAGACAATAGTAATATTAACTTTCACATAAAATGAAAGATATTTAAAAAGGGTGATCATAGATGCTATTGAAATCTAAAATACTACATTGCCCCTTAGTTAATTAATTTGGCATATGGTTTTGAGTCACGACATTTTATATAAATAATACGGAATAATTATATATAGAAATTCATTTTATTAATCGACGATTTAGAGGGGTGAGACCCTTGTTAGACTAGACTAGTTAGTTCTATCCAGTATTTTCATATTTCAAAATGGTTAACAAATTTGATCCATTCCTATTAAATATGGGATAAATACCAAAAACGTTACAACACTTCTTGTGACAGTCGGGCATACAAGGACACACGTTTAAAAATCTAAGAAGGCATCTGGTTACCACGTAACTTCTAAAGCGATTCCGATTTCACAATTTTGATTTCGTTCGTAATTCCAAGAATACGTCATTTATGACGAACTGACGTAATAGGGTTTCGTTGTTTTGTTTTCTCGGTTTTTTTTGTAGATTTGGCTTATCGAGTAAGGGGCTGGTTAACAGTATTATTTCGCTTTCCTTGGACCGCGTCATCTATATTATTTCCGTAGTTATATAAACATAAGATTCTTGATCAAGTAAGTCCTACATAGATTGTATATGTCACAGAGGCAGTTTACGCACCTCAGTAACCATTAATGCTGAAACCATTAAGATATATTATTTGGTTGGAGAATGCTGATAGATATTTACCGCAAAAAGTGATTATGAAAGACTATACATTAATTACAACAAAATCATTTGTTCGCAGTTATGGGTGGCAGTAGCCATCGCAGTTGCCGTTGCGGTGCCCGTCAAGGAAACTGAAGCTGAAGTATCAAGAGAAAAAAGATCACCATTTGGATGGCATTCCGAACCCGAGGGTGTATGGGAGAAGAAACTTATATGGCGCGAAGACTGGAAAAAGACGTGGAAGAAGGAAGCCAAGGTTGAATGGAAGATTGAACACGTGAAGGAGAAAATACCAGCTTGGAAAACGGAAAAGGTCCAACAATGGCGAGAAGAACAAGTGCCCGCTTGGAAAATTCAGAAAAAACCTATCATTAAGGAAATTCAAGTGCCCATTACTAAGGAGATTAAAGTTCCGGATTGGAAAAAGGTTAGTATCATTTACGAAGTTGTATTATAGAGTTCTAGTCCAGATTAAAAAATAAAGGGTGCGTGTACTTATGTACGCGCGTAAGAAGTTATACTTCTTTGGCATTATTAAAAATAGTTTTTGATTGCATGCAAATAATTAATTACAATTAAATAATCAAAGACTGGAAAAGGAGTCATTAAAGTCAATAAAGTTCAGTTTACATTTGAAAAATTAATTAAATAAATATTTATTATTATTCTCTTACATTAAACAAATAAAACACTATTTATCTTTAAAACATTTTTATTTCATTATACTATTTATTTTTAAGTGACTCTAATGTCTTCATCAGAATTTCGGTTTGTAATTTTAAATTAATCATTACTTGGTTGTGCATCTACGAGGCTTCTCCAAAACTACTTGCTTTCTGCAACAAATAAGAGAATATTAATTTAAGCTCTGTCCATGCAAAACTTAAAATTTTTTATAATTCATATTATAAATTTTTTAACACATTTATATTAATATAATTATATAAATGTGTTAATAATATAATTTGTAGCACATGCTACAGACCTGGATAGCAACTTTCTTTTATTCTATTTAGAGATAGAGATAATTTAAATATAATACCGGTGTCTTCCTTGTAGGTTTCTTTGGAGTTGTTTGGGGATTCTTGTTGTTCAGTTCGACATGATTTTCTTTAACCTTTCTTTAATCCTACAAAATAATGAAATTGTTAAGTTATGTTGTCACTGTTGTGCACACCTTTGTTTGGCTTTTTTAGTATTCAAGTTATGTCAAAACTGATTTATTACCTTGTCATTGTTGGCTTTATTTGCTTTTGGGATAAAGTTTGCAAAATGATTTTATTTGTAATAACCTGAAATATATAAATAACATCTATTAATTTAAGTATCATGGTGAGTGGTTCGCACTCAGGTATTAAGGTGTATTATACCCACTGTCCATTATAAGTGGGAATGGGCTCACTTCTGGCAGGACAGAGTTTCGGTACTACAAGTGCAACATGGATGTTTTGAGGTATTACAATATCTCTAACTACCCTGTAGGGGAATAAAGTAATGTTGTAAGCATATGCCTATGCTTGAAAGGTTGAACCTTGAACATCACCATACATCATATTTATAATTAACATTCCTACCTCGACACCATCACAATCAAATTCATTGAAATCTACTTCAAACCATTGTGTCTCGAGAAGGTGATGGTGGCTTTGTTCCACCTCCAGTTTTTGATGTTTCACGGCGATAAGATGACAACTCTTTTTTTTGTATTCAATTTAGTGCACTTCCACTGATTCATCAATTGTTTTTTGTCTCTTGTCCTTATATTTGCTAGATTAAATCTGATGTTTTGATTAAATAATGTGGTCATTTTTTTTGAGATGCAGGTACTTATTAAAATGTTTACTTCTCTGTTATATCGCTCCAAGCCTTCATTTTCTCCTTATTAGTATTCGTGCTTAAATCTTTGTTCTCAATTATTGATATATAGGGTCGTAGAATATTTCTAAAAAGTTGCTGTAACAAACGCAATAAACAAAAGCAATGAATAATGGTTCATGTTTCAGTTTTAATCAACAATAATACTCGATAATACATACGGATAGTTAACCTCAATTGTATTGAAGCACTCAGGAAGGTTAGCACAGTTTTTTCACAAATATTTTATATTATTTCACAAATATTTTGTATAATGAAAATAACTAGGTATATAATTATTAATTTTAAACAATAATTAAAACTCCTATATTTGTTTAAAAGGTAAATGTCATTGTCAGATGTCAATTGTCATGGTCATTCAAAATTCTTGTTAAGCTGCTAAGCTAGAATATGCGTGAAGTTAGCTTCACGCATATTCTATTTCTTTTTACTTGTAGTTTGTCTTATTCCCATCTCGCTCGCGCACGCTATATCACACTGCCAATTTTGTGTCATAGGTGCGCGCGCAATCGTAAAATTTCACTCTCATCAATTTTTCATAACGCGCCTAAAGAAGTACAACTTCAATAAGTCAAAAACACCTCCTCTACTGTATTAATTAAAAATAACTTAATGCTTCGTACCTACGTAATAATAGTAAATCATAGTATTTTAATGAAAAACTTCTAACGCGAATATTATTTCTCGATTTTTTTTATCTTTTTCTAATTTTTATTATTTGATGTGACAGCCAGTATTACGCGACACGTACGTAATAACGGCAAGTAAACGCACCAAGCAAGCATTTATTATTAAGTATTCATCAACATTTCTTTCTTAACAGGTTTATAAACCAATTTGGCGTGAGATCCAAGTTCCCGTGACAAAAACTATCGAAGTTCCGGAATGGAAGCAGAATTACGTACCTGAATGGGTCAAAGAGGGCGTGCCCGGAGAGAAATATTTAGGAAAAGATCATCATGGCTGGGAATACACCAGCCACGATCTTTGGAGGAAGAAGTTAGTATGGCGCCCTGTTTGGAAAAAAGTACATAAAACCGTGCAGAAACAGGAATGGGTAAGCTTTCCTTTTAACTCATCGTTTACCATAGTCCAAAGAACCCGTCATATTCCTCTTCCCTTCATCTTTGCAGCCATGGCGGTTAGGAATAGAAACTTGTCAAAAAAAAGGGGGGGGGGAAAGACTATTTATTTATTTATTTATTTAGTTATAAAGCCCACAACATCACACACAGTCATAAGTCCACCAACTATTTCACAAAATCCCACATCTAAAATGTGTGACAGTTAATGCAAGCATAAGTTTCTCAGTAATAAAATCAAATAGAAATTAAAAAAAAAAACACAACTAAAACACACACGACAATGCAAGCACACATTAAAATAAAATCAATTTTTTAACATAAACATAAAATAAAATAAAATAAAATTTTCAACAACTATGTGCAGAAAAAAAAAAGAAAAATCATCAGAAAAACAGCGAAATTAGGTTCTAGAAAGGCACCCCACAATGCTTTCTCTAAAACCGATCAGCCCACTACCGAATATATCCAGCTCTGGATACGCTGTGTTCAATTTGTTGAAATCGCGAAGAATTCGAACGAGAGGTGCCTGAACTCCTAGGTTGGTTTTGGCAGATGGAATTTGGAATATATTGTTAATTTTAAACCTAGGGAATGAGTAAGGGACGACAAATTTGATTTCCTGTAAAAGGTCACTGTTCTGTAAATGGTTGTTGAGCAATTTATACAAGAATGTAACACCGGCTAGAGCTCTCCGATTGTTAAGAGATAACATATTAAATTTTTTAAGTCGCTGATGGTACGGTTGTCTATGTGAAAATCCTCTGCTTATGAAAGCTAGGTGTCGCGTAAAAGATCTTTGTATGCTTTCAACGCGTTGCGAATGTATCGCATATAGTGGATTCCATATAATACTACCAAACTCAACATGACTACGCACCAGAGCGTTGTACAAAATTGTTTTAGTCGTACAACCAAAACAATCCGCATTCCGTTTAAGAAATCCAAGCATTCGTGCGGATGTGGTGACTACTTTATTGACCTGCGATGTAAACGTGAATTTTTTGTCAATAATAACACCCAAGTCACGAATCTCCTGAACCTCCTTCAATGGCGCGCCGTCAAGCTTATACACAGTAACAAGTGGTTTTTTTTTTTCTTGTGTATTTAATATGAAAGCACTTATTTATATTGAGGATCATACCATTTAAAAAGCACCAATGTTGTATACCATTAAGGTCACTTTGCACTAGAGCAGCATCACAGACAGTGTTAATAACTTTATAAATTTTTAAATCATCAGCGAAGAGAGACGCTTTACAGTGCTTTATATGATTCTTAACGTCGTTTACAAAAAGTAAGAATAGCAACGGTCCCAAATGAGATCCTTGCGGTACACCAGATCGCGCAATATAGGGAGTAGACTCAGCGCCTCCAACAACTACTGACTGAGGCCTGTTACGAAGATAGGACCTAAACCAGTTTAGCAAATTCTCTCCCATTCCATAACCACGAAGCTTCTGAATCAGTAACGCGTGACTGACTTTGTCAAAGGCATTGCTAAAGTCAGTATATATGGCATCAATCTGGCGCCCACGATCTAATTCCTGACATGTTTCAGTAACAAAAGACATGAGGTTTGTTTGAATTGAACGGCCTTTTCTGAAACCATGTTGCTCATCAATGATACAGCCGTCTAAACATTTGGAGATTACGGGATACAGGACAGACTCAAAGAGCTTGGAAAAACAAGATAAAATACAAACAGGACGGTAATTTTTTTACGTCGGTGATATCTCCCTTTTTTATACACAGGTACAACACGAGACCTTTTCCATACTTCAGGAAAAACACCATCTTTAAGAGATCTATTATAAATAATAGTTAGGGGCAAAGATAACACAAATCTACATCGTTTTACAAAGATAGGAGGAATCGAGTCTGGCCCAGCTCCTTTGTTAGTATCAAGACCTTTTATTTTCTTAGATATTTCATCCTCTCTAAAGCTAAGGGACATTAGGCCGTCAACATTGCCAATGTCGTCTGGAGTGGAACTGCCAACAAGTGATTCATCACAAGTATATACAGATGAAAATTGATATGAAAAAAGATTAGCAATATCAGGTGATGACTGGGCTGTAACATTGTCCATTTTCATGCAAGAGGGAAGCGATGAGTGACCACCTTTCCTATTTTTAATAAAACTCCAAAAACATTTAGGATTATTAGGAATACTTGCCTCAATATTTCGCTTATATTTAGTGTAGCAATCATCATAAAGTTTGTGACAACGTTTTCTAATAATGTGATACTCTATTTCGTCTCGAGGATACTTGTATATTCGATACCTCTTACGTGTTTTTTCTTTTTCAGCAAGTAATTTTATTAAGGAAGAACTGAACCACACCGGATACTTAGATTTCGTGATGGTCGTATTAGGTACAAATTTGCTTATAGTGGTGTTAAGAATTTTGTAGAACTTAGATACCATATCATTAACATCATCATGAGCGCGTAGGCTATCATTCCAATCAATGGTTTTCAGATCCCCTATTATAGACACATAGTCAGCTTTATAAAAATTTAGTTTAGTGTTACCTCTCGTTCGCAAAAAGGATATTTTAGAATATTCAAAACTTAACAATAAACTAGGATGATTCGCGTATATTTTACTAAACGAGTCGGAGGGGGCTGATACATTAATACTAGACATATTACTTAATACTAAATCTAAGAAACGATCATCGCTATTACCTATACTATTAAATTGATTTAGGCTATTCATAGACATAAAATCAATCAAGGCAAAGCCAAGTGTATTGTTATAATTACAAGGTGTCATAAAAACTTCATTATTTAACGATCTCCAATCAATGAACCCTAGATTGAAATCACCTAGAATAATGACGTCATCGCTTAAGTTTAAAGCTCTGTCAACGCTGTCTAAAAAATGTGTCAAAGTCCCAATCTTTACAGGAGGAGGTAGGTATACTACACATATCGAAAGTTTCTTTATTATTTTATTAATATTTATATGTAAGGTGACCCATAAGTCCTCCACATCCGATTCCCATGCCTCAACTCTGAAAGAAGAAATTTCTTTGGAGACTCCCAATATGACACCTCCACCATCCGATTTGGTATTGGTAGAACTTGAACGATCTCTACGATAAACAGTGTATCTATTGTCAAATAATTCCATGTTTGAAATACCAGATTTCAGCCAAGTTTCAGTAAGAGCGATGATCCTATAATTAGAAGTTGACAAATATTTGAGAAAGCTTGCCGTTTTAGTTCTCAACCCTTGTACGTTTTGATAATAAATTTCAAGCATTGTAAAAAATCAGTGTGTTACTAGGCTAAAGATACAAAAAGCTTACAATCTAATATACTATACTATACTATGTTAAAAGATTTAAGGTTTCGTTATTCTTAATAAGCAAGGCTTGGCAGTTTTCGTTCTTTCTTGTAAAAACTCGTCCGTTGCGAACCCATACAAATTTATACTGCTTCTCTTTTGCTTTCAAGCGTGTGGCCGCGTAAAGAGCATTGTTAACTGATGTTAGATGTTCAGATACAAAAATAGGTTTCTTAGTTCCTCCAATACCAAGATGATGAGAGTTCAATTTATCTTGTGGATTCTTCCTATTAAATTTGCTCACAGCAGCCAGAACAAAGTCACGTGTACGCGGGCTACATAACTTAGCCACCACGGACCGAGGCCTATCACTGCTATTAGTTATTTTAGCAACCCTTGTTACGTGCTGAATATCAACTTGAGTGAGGGGACAGTCCACAGTCTTGGCTATACGAAGGACAGTTTCAAATAAATTTTCTGACCTATTCTCAGGGATCCCATTAATCAATATATTATTCTCCCGGGCATGTAGTTCAACAGAAGTTAGCCGATTCGTTAGGTCAGCCACATTAGACTTTAACCTGTCATTATCTTTTTTTAAATTCACTATTGCGATGTCCTTCTCCTCAAGAGAAGACTTTATATCCTCATATTGTCGGCTCAGGAAGCAGATTGTGTCCTGGAATCCAGCAACCTTTTCAGTGAGATTATTAAGTTCCGATGTCACCAATCGCTTAATTGTCACAGTGAGGACTAATGATAATTCCTGTTGTAAGATATCTCGCAATTTATCTTCAGTGACATATGATTCTAGTTCTGGTTCTGGTAGTTGTGAAGGGGGTCCGTATGACGGCTTAATTCGCTGCGTTACTTTATCAGAGCACGGAGGTTCATTCTCCGGACTTGCTTCTTGTGAGCTCATACTAAGAGGGCTTCCATCGGATTTTCACAAGTCAGCAATGACGTCTTTGCATTGCTAACATTAGTCGGTTTCCTAGAGCATTCGGGACATCTAAATGACGCCTTTTGTCTTGCGACCATCTCAACAAAGCGCTTGCGGGAGACATTAGCACATACTAGGTCGTATTTTAACTTGCAGATATGACAGCACAAAAAATCCTTCTTTGGTAGCTCAGTATGACAGCTAGCACAACAATTTGAAGGCGCCATAGCAACTTTTAATAAAAAGAAAAAACAAAAAACAAGTGAGTTGCCTGGATTGGAACCACGTCACAAACTATAATATGACGATGTCTTGGCAGCGTTCTGCTACACTGAGCCGATCGGACAGTTGAGTACTTAGCCAAAATAATAGTATATATTCCAGACAAATAGCGGAGTGCAAACGCACAACGCGTCACCACGTTGAACAAAAACTCGACACTGTTTCACTGAATCTATGGATATGATTATTAAAATTAATCCAAAAACTATCAAATGCAAATGCAAATGTTAATGTTATGATTCACTTGCGTATTTTTCCATTTGGCGTATTGTTGATTGACCACTGCACCAGAGCGCTTGTTATTATGTTGTAAATTTGATTATCCTATTATCACAACAACTTTGAAAAGTCACACACTGCACTTATTTGCCTTGCTTAATTCACCTAAAACAACATACTAGCAATATTAGCAGTATTTCTATTTTTAATCTTATTTTTACACGGGAGCCGATGTGTACGGTACCCACAATGACGTATGACAGCAACAGTATACGTTAGTCAGTAAGCTTATTAATAAAAATTTAAATCAATGCTACACTCATAACTCAGTATAGATTACGTTATTATACAATTGAAGGAAATAATAATAGGGTCTCCTGGTCTCCTGGAAGAGATCGCTTAGCTGTTATAATTATTATTTTATTCTTGCGCAATAAAGTCGAAATAAGGAAATAAAACATATTTCTCTTCCGCGAGTTAAAAATAGATTACAGACTAGAATAGTTTTTTTATATTATAATTTTGTTTCTCCTATTATATCAATATATTTCTGGGCCCAAGCCTAGTATATTGATCATATAACATTATTAAACTGTATATGGTGAACTATTTTCTGTGGTCTTTATAGGTAAATAAGAAGACGCTTGAGTGGAAGGAAGAGTGGCAGCAGATATGGCGTAAAGAACACAAAACGGAATGGGTAACACAGAAGAAGGAAGAGTGGGTTGAAGAGAAGGTTCAAGTGTGGAAAACAATAAAGAAAGTCCAGTTAGTTCCAGTAAAGAAGCAGGTGTGGTTGGAAAAAACTAAAGAGGTCAAAGTCCCCGTGACACACTACGTTGACGTTCCCGTATTCAAGAAAGTTTGGACTCCCGTGTGGAGAAAAGTGTGGGTCCCACATGAACATCACGATCACCATGAACACCATGGATGGGATTAAAATTAGGTAGGAGCCATATATTGTACATATAGATACCAAACATAGTCATTTGTTAACTAATTGTTACCAATAAATCCAAGGAGCGCATGAGCGGCGTACGCAAACGCGAATGCACATGAATTCAACATTAAAATAGCCTAAATAAAAATCGCCTTACATGGTGTCCCAAATTGTTGTAATTTACATCGAGAAACGCGAAGTTTAGAAATTGGCGAAATTTTGGCTGCGAATTTTTTTCATTTCTTTTGCGTGCGCCCCTTCGATTTAACCAAAGCGCAAATTGTATAAAAGATATATGCAGAAATATACAGAAATTGCAAATCAATATTTCCAAAACGGTTTTTGCACATTTTCTGTGTCTGTCCTAAATAATCTCAGATACGGAAGCTAAAGTTTTGGATATTCGATTTTTGTCGATCCGATTATAATATTTTAAACATTTTTTATAGGTATATTTAGTTGTTATTGTACAGTTTGTGCTCTTTTTTTATAACGTAATAGAGATTATAAAAATTTTATTCTTCATGTTTTAGTTTTATAAATTCTAAAGTTTCTATTTTAAATATCAGTTGAATATATATAAAATTTATAACAAAACAAATAAATTCTCGTAATGATAAAAGCTAAAACATGAAGGACTTTTTACCACCTCTTTGTTATTATCTTTATTAAAGATTTTTTTATCATATTGATAATATGACCAAAAATTATTTCTTTTGATTTTGAAAATATTATACAAATATAATGTCCGTGTGTATTTTTATTTTCCTTCACGTGTTAAGGTTTCTTCATCCACAACTTGGTCATCGAAAAGATCAGGTTGTATATTATATATAGTGAGTATATCATTTAAAAAATGTGCGTGCGTACAAAGCACACAATATGTCAGAAGTGAAACTTCTTTTTAAATTAATTATCGAGTAATTAAGCTGGCCAAATACCATTATTTAATTTTGCCATTATTTCTATGGTAATGAATAATACTGAGGCTAATTAAAACCCAGAACTAAAATTAGTTGTTGTTATGTATATAAAAATACCACCATAAATATGGGAACAATTACCAAATAATATAACAAATTCATTATTATCATAATTGCTAACTTTTGTCCACATTTTCTAAATTAGGCAACTGGGTCTTAGCAAAAACGGTCTTGCTTCTGTGCCCTTATAAAAATACAAAACCAACAAAAAAATGGTAGTTTAGTTACTTAATAAAATAATAATGATATTTATATGTATTAAAAACACCATCGGTGTTCAAGTATGAATTAATCCACCACATTATTATACAAACACATCTTTATTAAAGAAATAAAATCTACAAAAACGCTGCACATCTTCGTGACAAATTTTACCCTCATGGCCTAAAGAAGTTTCACTAAAATCAATAAAAATTATATGCCCAAAGTTATATAAGTATGTACATTGTACGTACAATATATTGCATAGCTGAAGGGCAGCCTTGTGGCTATTAATCCATCTATTATTGACATTCGAAATAATATGAAACGTAAATATAAAAATTTGGGAAAGATATAATATAAGAAAGCAAGAATAAGAGGTACTAATAATGATCAATCAACACTTAAAAATAATATAAACTTACCAAAGAGTCTAGAAATGCAAATCTATAAAATAACTCATTTTTAATTAGACTAGAAGTGCTTGCTTAGCTTTATAGAAGAGACGATAGAAAAATCGCTAACTAAGTATGTGCTAATCCTTTCAACCGAGCGCAAACTATAGTTGTAAACATAGATAGAGAAAAGGTCTAAATAAAGAAAATTAAGAAAATGTGCGACACGCCGACGACGCATAGAGCCACACATGCTGCTTTCGTTCACGATTTCGGCTTGGAAGGCAATCTACCTATGAAATAATCACGGGTTCATTCAAACAACAAAACCTCTTTAAAACGATTGAATCGTTAAGTATGACACAATAATGATCTTATATACAATGTGAAAGAGACAACGTAATCACGTCTTATATTATGTACATATAAGCCTATATGCCAGTATTTGTCCATTTATATGTCTGGCAAATCGATGAAGCCCAACATGTGTACGTCGAAATAAGGACTATTACGTCTCTTAGTTGATAACTGTGTGATTACAATAAGAAACGAAAAACAAAAAGTCAAACCACGATTTTAGGATTGGAACAAGTCATTCAGACGAACTTCAGACTGACTTTTTGAAGAAGTCTATTAAGTATGAGAGCAGTCTTGGCCTAGTGGCTTCAGCGTGCGACTATCATACCTGTGGTCGTAGGTTCGAGCCCCGGCTGTGAACAAATGGACTTTCTTTCTATGAGCGCATTTAACATTTGCTCGAACGGTGAAGGAAAACATCGTGAGGAAACCGACATGTCTTAGACCCAAAAAGTCGACGGCGTGTGTCAGGCACTAGAGGCTGAACACCTACTTGCCTATTAGACTTAAAAATGATCATGAAACAGATTCAGAAATCTGAGACCAAGACCTAAAGAGGTCGTAGCGCCACTGATTTTATGAGGGTGAGCAATTATTTAATCAATTACAGTGTAAAATTCGTAATATTAGCCCGTTTAACCAATTCAAAAGACTAAATTTTTTTAATAATATTCTACACGTAATTTCACTTTAGACAAACTTCATAAATTATTAACAACCTGCCCAAGAATTTCATCTACACCCACGGTCAACCCATGGTACAAGTAATTTGTATCATAAAATTTTAGATTTCATAATATTAATCCAGTAGCGCTATAACCTTTTTTTTTTTTCAAATTCCTTATAATTTTTCTTTGATAGGTTAATGGGTCACCTGACACTTGTCGATTATTAAGTGTGAGAAAAGCTTCTTACGACGTACGAGCGAATTTGGTGTTTATAAGCCACATTGCATATGTATTCCTTAATATTATGGGAACACTGGTGTCCTCTGGCATAGCGACCCAAACTGGGCCTGAAAATTATTAAACCCACTTTAAAGAAACGGAACAAGGAGTTTATTAATTCCAGGGTATTTCTTTTCTTAAGTTATCATCTACATGTTTACAGAAATGAACGTGAATTAGGTCCTTGAAAGGGGAAATTGTCAGTATGAGTTTCTTTTGTTAAAAAATTTAAAGGGGTTTTTGTGTCAAAATCTATATTTTTATCAAAAATCGAAAACTCCATTGTAAATTTCTCCTAATAAATTTATTCTATATGAGTTTCTTTTCTTGAAAAAACTTAAAGGGTTTTTGTGTCAAAATCTATAGTTTTATAGAAAATCGAGACCTCCATAGTAAATTCCTCCTAATAAATTTAGTCTATATGAGTTTCTTTTGTCTTCACGGAAATCATATTTACTAAAGTTTTTGGGTAAAAATAAAACCCTATTATAACTGAATGTCATTATATACGTATTGAACCTGCGTTGTAGGTATAAAATTTATACGAATAAAAACACTATAATATATAAGCAAGTCTTCTGCGATTTACACTGAATGCCGGATACCTCTAGTTATACCAGAAATATTAATTACACTTCTCGATATCCAGTCGAACAAAAGCTCTTTGCATCGACAGAGCAATAAAGGCGAGACACGAGAATTTGTCTACCTTACACTCTATTTTCCGTGAACATCATAGTTCGAACGGACGATGAGAAATGTTTTGCACAGTGTAATACGAATTAAACATTAAATCTTTCTATTAAAGCGTTCCTGACAGTGGAAAATCTTATAAGGTCAAAAGACAAAGACTTTGTTATTGACGTATACTATATAACATCTCATATTACATTAGAGATATTATGGATAATGATATTTCGGATCTGGATACGGATATGGATATAAATATATAAAATTATTATATATCGGTTTCGGTTACGGTTATTAGATTGAAGTAAAGTATAAATACTAATAGGATGTAATAATTTAGTTTTAATTATAGTTTTTATTTAGTCTAGGTTATCAGTTGGTATTATAAACAGTCAAATAGGTATATAATTAGTATATACCTCCCCAGTTTTATCTAATAAAATAAATTTAAAAGCTGTAAAAAAGCATTTAGCTTTATGCATTGCACATATTAACTTATAACCTGTGTAACATATTAAATGTTTTCTATTTGATTTAGTGATGTGAAAAAATAATCGATTATTAAAAAAAAGCAGATCAAGACAATATACAATTAAAAAGGCTACAAAAATACTGCAATGTGCTACTGAAAAGGAATACACTCAGCATTTATCAAAATCTATCAAAACTAGATTAAGTTAATTTCGATTTTGATTATTCTTAAACGTTAATTTGTGTTTATAATTTCTATTGTTTATATTTAATTAAAAAAACCATGAAAAATAAAATATTTAGGGTGTTTATTTTGAAATTAATTCAAAAATTAGGAAAAAAATCGATTAATAAAAAAAATCGATTATTTTTTTAAGAAAAATCGATTATTTATTAATCGATTATTCATGCTAAAAAAATAATCGATTAATAAAAAATCGATTTTTTATGCAGAATGTCACATCCCTAAATTTTGATTATTTTCGTGAATAATGAAACCATCAACAAAAACCTGTCGAAACTTGTCGTTTTTTCTAGATTTTAGACTATTATTATTATACTTATTCGAAGCTATCCGTAACTTGTGAAACGGATACGGTTACGGATATATTTTTATTTCGGATATCCGATGTTATGGAAGAATCTCCATAACATCCTGTATTAAATGATAGCATTTGGTTCAAGGCGATTTCTAAAACCTTTAACCGGAAATAGTACTTATTCGGGGCGGAACTCTATAGTCTAAAACGATGACTGTAGAAATCGCAGGGCTAGAAAAAGTAGGACAAATGTTTCCGCAATTATAATGCGTTTATCTAGAGCTATAATAACATGTCCACTTTCACTCTGTTAATTGTTCAACAACAATGCGAGCGCACTAAATTCTCTTGTAACTTATATTATGTAGCTCGGAGCCGCACCTCTCACGTTTTAATGTATATTATGGCGCCAAATTA